GGTCGTCGTCCGGAGCCGCGTTTCGATCAGTCCGCGGTCGCCGTCGCCGCGCCGCCGCCGCAGATCCCCGGAGAGGAGGCGGCGGCGCTCCGGCGAACGTCGCAAGCGGCGGCGCAGCGGCTCCCGGTCGGCCAGTCCGCGCGATAAACCGAAAGGCAAACGTCGGCGTCGGGCGCGATCCGAACGGCCCGCGGAGAAGCGCGCCGCCGCCGTCGAACCGCGTCGCAAGACGCCGAAGAAGAGGCGCGCGCGCCGGAAGAGTCCCGCGCGGTCTCCCCCGCCCGTGGCGGCGGAGCGCGCATGGTCCGGAGCCTCCGTGGATTCGCGGCTGCTGTCCCCGCGCACTCCTCCCCCGGAGCCGCTGCCGCCGCCGCCGCCGACGGCGGGAGGGGGGGGGCCCGGGCCCGGGCCGCAAGCGTCGCGCGGACCGGGTGCGGCACAGGCGCGCGCGCTCCGCCGCCCCCGCCAAGGAGGTGTTCACGTCCGGAGACAACATCCTCGTGAGCGTGAGCTTCAAGGAGGCCGCGGTCCGCGCGTCGCCGGCCGGGATAGGGCGGCGCGACGAGCGGCGGGCCCGGCGCAAGGAGCGGCGCCGCAAGCGGCGGGAGGAGGCGGCGGTGACGTCGCGGCCGGTGGCCATCATCGACCTGGAGCGGTCGCCCTTCCGCGAGCTGACGCCGTCGCCGCGCAACGTCATCGTGCTCAGTGACAGCGAGCAAGGTGAGAACCCACCGAAACACCCGCACGCGGGTACGTTCTTTTCTTTATTATACACCCGAGCTAACTTCTTGAGGGCGAACCGTGGCCATCGAGGCTTTAGAAGTAGTTATTTTACACACATAAACGTCACCTGCGCGTGTAGACTTCTCTTATCTGTGGTTTTGCTCATACAGTTTGCCGCTATTTAAATAAGCTACTAATTGCCGATCGCTACCTATCTTTTTCGAAAAAATAATCTTATCGATTTACCCTTTCCTTTAAAAAATCTATAAAATTTACAAGAATGACTGTTAAAACATGTTCCAACTGACTTTTTGAAGTGAAACTTCTTTACACACGCTGAACTTGGGAGGTAAGCTGGCGAATGAGTTACTAGTTACGAAAAGTGTATTTCATTTTTTGGTTTTGGGTATAATAATAAAACAAAGTTCAACAAAAACAACATATTTAGTACAATACAATCACAGTCAAACATAAAAATGTAATTCTTGATAATATAATATTCAATGACAACTTGCAAACATTTAAACTAATGTAGTATGTACTCTTTGTAGGAGTATATTGGATATCTTTTTAATCACTTCGTAGGCCGCGATAGTAGAATATATCATAAGAATAATAGTATAGGGCTCATATTAAACGCTTATCCAAAAAATAGTTAATGGTTCTCAGAAAAAATACAATCGTTAACCTAACCCAATACCGGTACCTCAGTTGGCTATTCGTGTTTGCCATTTGTAAAAATGACATCACTTTATTTTTTCATTCCTTGTGGAGCACGCTAAGGACAAACTGATGTCAAAGGACATTGTTCAGCGTCCATACATAGTTAGCCTAAGAACCAACAATCATGAAATATTATTTTCAAGGTTCAAAATCGTAAGTAAATGACTGTAAAAACAAAGATTATTGACGGACACTTCTGAGAACTTCAATTATTAGGAAAACTAAAGCTTTGAGGTTATGTTTAATATTCAATAAAACAGGTCAACCTATGAACTTAGTATGAACTCAGTATGAAGTGAATTAATATTACAACTAATTCATTTTATTCGGTGCGATTTTAAATAATAACTATTAGGAAAAACTTGGTTTAATAAGAATCATGAATAAAATAAAAACTGTAGTTTTGCTTCTTATTTATTGTCTATTTTTCACATAAAAGCAAAAACAGATCAATTGGAAATTTTGACAAATGAAAAGAATGTGCATGTGTGTTGCTTTAGTGAGACATTTTTAAAGGAGCACGAAGTTGATATTTTTAAACTGAATGGTTTTAAGAAAGCAGCACATTTTTGTAGGAAGCGTAAGAGACGAGGTGGTGTTGCAATTTTTGTAGCGAACACTGTCGACTACCGTGAACTGCAGTTTATCTCAGACATGTCCATTGAAGGTCATTTTGAATGTTGTGGAATTGTACTAAGTGGAATTAATCATTTAATAGTATGTGTTTATAGAACTCCTAATGGTTGCTTTGATACCTTTATAACTAATATGGAGAATCTGCTGCATAAAGTTATTATTAGAACCAGATCTACTTTCAATAAGATACATGTTCTGGGTGACTTTAATGTCAATATTCTCGAAGTCAATAATAGAAGCGAATTATTTTTGAATATGTTCAGAACTTATAATTTATATCCGACAATAAATGTACCTACTAGGCTTACCCTTCATTCCCAAACATGCATCGATAATATATTTTCAAATATCAAACAATACAATACAGAGGTCTTAGACCTAGGACTATCAGATCACACATGCCAAATAATATCAATTTCAGTCACAATTAATTACAATCAGCCATTTTGGTTTATGTACAGGAGGAATAATGATAAATATATGGAAATTTTTACAAATTATGTGTCCCAAATCAATTTTTCGGACGTATATAATCAAACTGACGTCAACAGCGCTTATAATAAATTTATTGACATATTTCGACTTTTATATGACCTCTGTGTGCCCATTGAAAAAAAGAAAATAACTTCTAGACAATCTCAACATTGGAAAACCAAAGGAATTAAGACGGCTAGTAAACATAAAAGATATCTGTACCTTCTTTCTAAAAGAAGCACGTGTAATAACATTAAAAATAGCTATAAAAGATATTGCAAAATTTTAAAAAATGTGATAAAACAATCAAAGAAATTAACAAATATAAATTACATTCAGCAGAGTACAAATAAAAGTAGAGCCACATGGCGAGTGATTAAACAAAATACATCACAGACAAATATAATTAAACAAACAATTGATACTATTAGGAAAGATAATGAAATTATTACTGACCCAATTGACATTGCTAAAATAATTAATAGACATTTTATTTACTTTAATGATGACATCACTAAAACCAAATCAGGCAATACATACAAACCTTTGACCCAATCTAATTTAAACAGCATTTTTTTGACTCCAGTAGATACAGTTGAAATAATAAAAATTGTAAAAGGATTTAAAAATAAAAAGAGTACTGGCCATGACGAAATACCTATGTCCATTATAAAGACAAGTATCCAACAGATAGCAAAACCACTGGCTTACATTATTAATCTAACAATAGAGACCGGAGTATTTCCCGATGAATTGAAAAAGGGGCTAATTAAACCTTTGTACAAAAATGGCTCCAAATCTGAAATTAATAACTATAGACCTATTGCACTGTTATCCAACTTTTCTAAATTGTTTGAAAAGATTATTTTCAATAGAATTAGTTCCTTTTTTAATAAACATAGTATTCTACATGAAAATCAATATGGTTTTCAAAAGAATAAAAATACCACATTAGCTATATTTAGAATGTTAAAACAGATTTGGACAGCCATTGATAAGAAAGATTCATGCATAGGTCTTTTCTTAGACTTGTCAAAAGCATTTGACTGCGTCCAACATGAAATTCTACTAAAACAGTTGTATCATGTTGGAATACGTGGTAATGCTTTCAAACTGTTACAATCATACCTAGAAAATCGACAACAAGCGACAGTATTAGATGTATATGATAAGAATACAAAAGTCATGACAAGAGTTCAGTCGGACTTCGAACAAGTAATACTGGGTGTTCCACAGGGTAGTATATTAGCTCCTTTAATGTTTCCGCTGTATATTAATGAATTGCCACTAGTAACAAAATACTTATGTGTTATGTTTGCGGATGATGCCACTATATTCATTCAAAAAGACAAATTTTCAAACCTTGACGATCAAGTACGTGATTCTCTTAATATTGTGATAAAATGGTTGTCAACCCTAAATCTTAAAGTGAATCTAGAAAAGACAAAGATTATGCAATTTAGGAATTACAAAAAGAAATTACATGATATTGACATAGTTATCAATAATAAAAAAATCGAGCAAGCTAATGAGACAAATTTTCTAGGCATTAATATTGACCCCCATCTCAATTGGAAATCACATATAAATAAAATAAATAATAGATTATCTAGTAAATGTTACCTTGTATCAGTATTGACTAATATAACTTCCATTGATGTTGCTCGAAATGCATATTATGGCTATGTATACCCTCTTTTGACATACGGAATCATATTTTGGGGTAATTCGGTAAATGCTCATTCTACATTTATTTTACAAAAAAGGTGTTTGCGAATTATATATAAAATTGACCCACTTGAATCTGTAAGACCAGTATTTATAAAATATAGATACCTAACATTGACTTGTATATATATATTTGAAATATGTGTGTTTGTAAAAAATCATGACGAATATTTTTGTAAAAAAAATCTGACTAAAGCTAATATACGAGCCCAATATAAAAATGACATGAATACTGCATTATCGACTAGCTATATATTTGACAAAAGCTCTTATATAAGTGGAATTAAAATATTTAACAATTTGCCCAATGACATTAAAGATTTAAATTTATTGGAATTTAAAATTAAATTAAAGAAATGGTTAATAGATAAATGTTTTTATAATTTAAAAGAGTATTTTCGAAATTTTTAATAGCATTTACCACCTATAATGAATATTGTACGTCCGAAACGGACAGCTGCCTAGAACTAAGAAATTACTTGTAACACCATTGTACTCAGCATGACAATAAAGCTTTCTATTCTATTCTATTCTATTCATAATTGTATCATATTGTTTATTATATTTATTTGTATATCACATATATATTGTGTAAATATGCAGCGTGAATGTGTATCAAGTGTTCTTGAATAATTTGGCAGTATAATCCTTTCAGGATGGTGTGGCACAGGTTCACTAGCACTTGGTAATAAGAGCTCTGCTCTTTGGTAACATCGATGGCATATTATATAGCCGAAATAGTTAAATTAAAGGAAAAACAATCGCAAATAAACACACAACAGGTAATTCAAAACGAGAATGCACTTTCCGGTATATTATACTACTCCTTGGAATGCACGAATGCCACAGATTACTACGAATGCAAACTGCATGCACCACAACCACAGAGTAAGAGGTTTATGCCGGCCCTTCACTTGACAACAGTTTGTCCTTGTCATGCTTATTAAGGAATGAAAAGGACAGACTGATGTCATGTTTTAAAATAGCAAATACGAATAGCCAAGTGAAGTGCCGGCGTTAGGAAGAAAGAGTGTTTTGTTTGCAACGCTGCCACAGATTATACACATAAAATGGTATTTATTGTCTCAGATTATTTTTTAACTTTTTAATTTAGCTTACTTAACTGGAAGTGTCCGTCACATTCTAAATACTGATAATTATCATAAATGCCAAATTGGTGTTGGTTCTTAGGCCATTTTTAACATTGTCCTTTACAATAGTATTGTCTAAATATTTTAAACAAGAAATTGACCGACTCAACGCACAACTCAAACTGCTGGATCTAGAGACTTAAATTTGCGTAGGTTCCTTTCGAGGTCTAGGGGGGCACTAAGAAAGGATTTTTTCAAAGTCAACCCCCGAAGGGTTTAAAATAGGGGACGATAGTTTCTATGAAAAATCTTGTTCTTTAAGTTTAAAAGTTGAGAATCAAAATTGGACTTGATTTAAAACCGTAAGCAGACTGATAATAAATCAGATTGGTTAAAAAATTTGCTACTCAAGTAACCAATTCTACGCGTACGAAGTCGCGGAAAAAAGCTAAAGCCTTGCTGATCGTTTCCTAGGTCCAGGTGAAGCGGGTGCGGCCGCAGCGAGCGCGGCAGTGGTGACCGCAGCCCCCGCGGCGGGTGGTCCGCGCACCCCCCCTCCCCCCGCGCACCCCCACCCGCACCCGCCCCCCTCGGCGCCCGCGGCCCGCGCCGCCCCCGCGTCGTGCGCCGCCGCCGCGCCCGCGTCCGCCGCCGCGCTGGCCCCCCCGCCCGCGCCGGCCGCCGCGGTGCCCCCCCCGGAGCCCCCCTCCTCCCCGGACGCGTACGACCCGTTCGAGCCCACGCACTCCCCGTCGCCGTCGCCCTCCCCCTCGCCGTCCCCGTCGCCGGCGCGCTCCTCCCCCCACCCGCACCCGGCCGCCGCCACCTCCCCCCAGCGCCCCTCCATCACGCTGGAGACGGCGCAGAAGACGAATCTCTCGGCGGACGACGTCATCGACCGCCGCCCGCTCTCGCCCATGGAGAAGGTGAGTCGCTGCAGTTGTGCATAATATGGAAGATCTAAATAAAGATAACAACTAACATTTGATTTACCAGATTGTGAAGACTGATCAGAGTTTGCCGACGCTATCTTTTATTACCGTTTCACTTCACTAAATACACAAAAAAAAACTAAAGTATTTTTTTGTCAAATTTCCTTACACATTTGAATTTTGGCGCATAATGCCTAGTAACGCCTAGAAATGAAGATATTTTATTGGAACATTCAGTATCACTCCCTTGTTAGATTGAAGTCTACACATATCGTATATCGGATCAAATGAAGTAATCGCCGTAAGCACTGTGCGAGAGAAATAGTAATTTTCTTCCACCTGCCCCCACTTTTTGTTACTTATTAATAATTTAAATTAAGTAGGAGATATATATTTTCAAAATTTAAATAAATTAGGGAGGCTGTATGGATTTAGTAATTTAATATCCTTTGCTTTCATATGGACAAAATATGAAAACAACAAAAAAGTTTTGGCGCTCCTTTGTGAAGTTTAAAAGCTTAATTTTTCATAAAGTTGCACTTTGGAGTCAGTATTAAACAATAGTGCTTCTTTATAGCATAACAATCTCAAAGATTACGTTAAACATTGTGCAGCCACAGTCAAAATCTAATAGGAAAATTCATTTAAGAACATGATTTAGTCAAAAACAGTGGAATATTATTTGTAAAAACAAGAACATTTCAATATTATACAAAGAATTATAAATTGTTACTTCATTAATAAATCGTAGCAGGCACTCAAGGTAGGCAATCACACTTAAATCTTTCCAAAACACAAGAATATTTAGACGATATACAAGGAAACAATATAAATCTCGAATCAATTTCGAGTTATATTTTAAATACATGTTGTATGATAACTATAATTTATATTATAGGTAGCGAATATGTTATTTATGTACTCCACATTTCTTTATTTTTTGTAAAGAATCAAAACCAACAGAACAGTATTGCCTATATAGTGAATGTTTTAAGTAAAATTGTTTCTTTAATTTCATATGTCTGATGTGGCGAGACAGGCGCGAAGAGTCTACGTACGTACCTTCCATATTCGGTACTCTATAAGTCACATCATTCATCTGATACTTAATCAACGAGATAGCTATACTTTAACATAGTATAATCTATCGACAAAACATAATCTTTTACAAGACACATCGATTTAACATAGTTTAATTTTAATCTTATATATATTTATATTACACACATCTCAGAAAACGATAGCTGTTGTGTAATAAAGCCATGTATGTGTTATTGTAGCTTATTAATATGATGTGTAAGGCTCGCCGCCTGGCGAGATTGTTACTGATTACATCACACATCTGTCTTCGAGAAGATGTAGGTGTTTCTTGTTTTAATTGCAAGGCAATGACTTTTTTTCAATATATAATCAAAATGCATAAGCGGCTTACACGAAAATTGATGCTGTCACTTTCTTCAGCAAATGAGCGACTGCATATCTAAAGGGGCGGAGCTGCGCGGAACATAGGTATTGATCAATGGCATAGCTTCAAATATGTATGTGTGTACTTTTTTTAATAATCCCATTGGTTAATTTCTGTACTTCTCTGCTCGGCTCTGCTTCTATGCAAACGCAGCCTTAATGAAGCATTGCATCGATCAACAGTAACAGCCTAGCCTGAATAAACGATATTGATTTTGATTTTGAATCGAACGTTTTTGAGAACGGCTGTATATCCGCAATATTTATAACCTGCCAGCGCAGACGAAGGACTTTTTTTCCGCGGAGTACAAAAGACTTGTCACGGACTCAACGCTTACGATGATGGGCGGATCCAGGGAGGGGGAGGGGGGGCATGGGGTCATAACCCCCCCCCCCCCCTGGGCTGGGTCCATCTGTACCCACTTCATAATCTGTACTTCACAATCTGTACCCACTGTGACTTGACCACGACTGACCGATCATGACCCCCCCCTGGCGCCAAAGTTTGTTCCGCCCTTGCATACGATGTGCGAACCTTTGGCCCCCGAGAATTTATAAAAGCGCATCCTGGAGGAAATATTCTCAGATTGCGTTGTTTTGTAATTAATATGAAGTTCAAGATAAAGAGAAGACGTTTAAAAAGAAAATGTGGGTCGGATCGAGTGCGCACCGCGGACTAAAGTTAGCTGTGTGCGTTGCTGAGCCTAGACACATTTGTTCCATTTTTTTTGTCGGGGACACTTTTGACGTCCGGCCTGTCGGTGTCCTCGGTTGTAAGGAGGACTTTTTGTACGCGGTAATTTTAACTTGTCGTGCGTCTTACTCGATGCAGTTGTAAGCAACGATATTAAATAACCTAGATACAAAATCACAAACAAAATCGTGGCCGAAACCTGTCTAAAAGGTACATTGGACGATGCATGGAGCTCCGTAAGATGACCGCGTACTTAATAACAATATAAGGCATTGTTTAAACATTCAGTAACCTTTAATGCATACTGCATATGGTCTCAATTAAAACGCATGCGTTTAAGAGTTACGACAGTTCAAAGTGCAAGCTGATAAAATTTTACGACTTATTGCTATTCGCGTAAAAATATATACCTACTTTATTTCTTTGACTCTACGCGCAAATCCGAATGCTATGTTAGCGGACGGACTGCGAAGAAAAGAGACAGCCATATTACCGATCATGCATTTGAATATCACAAATATTTTCCATTAAATCAGTTTATAGTAAATATCAGAACAAAATTTGCTTCAAATGCGTTAAATTAACAAACATTTCTTAGATTAGTGTCGAAAGAAGGACACTACGTGCTATAAATTTTTATTTCGCGTTATTTCACGGAGCTCGGCGGCATCTCGACTTTTTAACGGTCCGCGCGTGACTGTGAACCGAGAAGTGCTCGAGTGGTGTTCAAGCACTTCTTAATTAAGACACATTTTGAGCATACGTGGTTTATCTAGGGTGTTTAATAGCGATCTATCGTCCCTCGTCTGCGCTGGCCATCGGTCAGCATGATGTTCGCTTGACTGATGACGGTGGCCCGGTTAGGTGATGGCGTTGCTGCAGTCGACGCGCGACGTGTCCCCGGAGCCGCCGCCGTGCGCGCCGGGCCCGGGCTCGTCCCCCGGAGCCCCCACCCTGAGCGTGGGCCCGTCCCTGCCTGCTATGGGAGCGGGGGCGGCCCCTATAGCCCCGGGGCTGGTGTCGGCGCCCCCGTCAGCGCCCCCCACGGCGGCGGCGGCGCCCCGGATAGTTCTACCGGAGGCGGCGCGCACTCAGCCGCCCAAACTCTTCCTCGCGAAACCCTCGCCCATCAAGTCGGACCCGATCAAACCGCTGCAGGTATGTATCCTCCGCTTAAGGTCTGACTTTTGTCATTTTTGTTAGTCAAATTGAGGACTAAATATTCTCCTAATATGTTTGTGTGATTAAATTACAATGGTAATTTTGGAAACTTAACATCGCTCGACTAGGGATATAAAGTGTTAAGCTCCTCGTATTACGTAATACTAGATTACATTGATTCTATTAAGAATCGGTTTTCAGCGAACATGAAAATTTTCGGGGTTATGACGAGTCATTGATCTCATACCATTTGTGCCTTTAAAATTATTAAAAATACCGAACTGAGCGTTCTCCGTTTAACTATAAAGTAAAATCGGACACAACGAAGCGATCATAATTTTGTATAAGTATCGACCGCACCATCGTTTTCTCTCTTTTTAAAGAGCTGTCAGTTTGTCGTGTCACTCGGTCTATTCTTTATGTGTATGGTCGCTATGCAAACGAACTCAGTACCAGTAACGAACTCAGCACGAACCATTATCGAATTCGAATAGTTTGCGAGTCCGAAATGTCATTGTCAAATTTCGTATGAAAACTTGAATATTAGTGCCATATCGTACGTAACGAGAACTAAAAATTAGTACACATTTGACAATGCCATTTCATACTCTCGAACGATACCAATTCGATATCGGTTCGTACTGAGGGTACAGCACAATAACTAACTTAAAGACCACAAAGGGAGAAATATACATTGTTAATGGTTGCTATCACGGAACACAGAAAGAGGTGAGACGGGTGATGATAAACCGTTTGTACGGGAACTGATGTCGCGGGCTTGCCCCCCCCCCTGCAATTCTACCTAAAAGATAGCCAATCAAACGACGCGACATCATACAATCGAGCCAATCAGCGCTCACACCCGAAAACAACGACACGATCAGAACTAAGTTTTGGTCAAGTTATGAACATTTGCTCATACATTCCTGTGGCACACCTGTCCCCCCCCCCCCCCACAAGGCCCTTCAAACCTCTTTCTATGTTCTATGGTTGTTATGAATAGCGTGCGTACACGAAATTTTCAAAACAGTATTCAGCAGACGGGTCTCGAACCCGCATCCTTCGTTATCCGGGCGAATGCACCGACCGTTATGCTACCGCGGCCCCGACGAATTCTTTCTAGCCTCTGTTAAGCTGGAAGTATGGTTACGGTTTGGATGATAACGATTATGGTTTGGGGTACAACAGTCGTCGGCCCTGCCGCGCGCGGACTCGCCGTACTCGCCGGGCTCGTCGGACTTCGGGGAGTTGTTCTCGCCGCCGCGCCGGGACGCGTTCGACGCGCTCGTGCCGCCCCCCACCAACAACACCGGCCGCCGGAGGGGCAGGCTGCATGCGCATGCGCATGCGCCCTCCAAGGTGCCCGTCAAACTCAACAAGAAGAAAGGTGACTACCCCTCCACAACACGACATGACACTACACCTCCAGCGTTACTATTTACGTTTTATACCAATAACAGGGATGCCAGATGAAATTTTATGATTTCCCCAAACTGATGTTTAAATTTCCCCCGAAAGATATGTTTTCAAAAAAAAAACCCGTATTCCATTGTTACAAATTGAAATGGCTCATATTTGTTAATAGGGATGATGACTATTTTTTTTTCTTCGTTTATCCGGTAGATTATCAAAAAGTATTGGACGCGTATTTTTTCTTTTTTCACATAATATAAACATTGCAGAGATATATTGATTTGAGTCGCATGACGTCACGTTTGAGTACACTTATAAGGGAAAATTCACTCAAAAGTGACGTCACGAGCCCCTACTCCCAAACTTTGACGCGCTATAACTTTGTCATTTTTTGGTTGATTGCCCAAAGAAAAAATACGTGTCCATTATTTTTTGATCATCTAACTGACGGACTAAATAGAATTTCGTTTACTGTACCCCGTCATCGCCCCTATTAAAGCTTCATTTTAAATATCAAGTTGATACTACTTTAGTCCCATTTTCTAAATAATCCTAGCATTTTTCCGGTCTGTTCATGCTTTGTGCCGTGCCGCCGTAATTTTCTATGACGCTTCACACTAATGATTTATCGTCTACTGTTTCACGAAAACGGCTCTGGATTCTTACATATTAGCCAGGATGCCAATTTTTATTTATGGATAGGTCCTCACCCTGCCGGCCTGCATGTTGCTTCTTCACGCCTCTTTTAAAGGATCCCAGGTTGTAAGAGGGATGGAACACGTGAGCGGGCAGAGCATTCCATTTATGGATAGTGCGACAAAGAAATGAGTCACTAAATTTCTTTGTACGCTTTGGAATTATGGCCACAGTTAAATGAAAAGGTCGCTCGACGTTCAATCAGAGTTAAGTTTTTCCCCAGAATTTCGAAAGAAATCGCTATCCTGAACGCTGGCCACTGTGTTTAAATAAAATCTTAAGCAATTACATGTTGCAAAATCTTAGCGACTAATCTGAAGTTTAATCATCCTACATAAGGCGGACTTCCTGTCGAAACACTGCCCTATGAAATGACAATAAACTGCACACTAAACCGGCGTCGGTTCCGTGCTTCCGCTTAACGCAGCACAGGCCCTAAAGTGTCAGCCGACTTTCTCTTCAATGAAGAGAACTAAAATAAATAAAACTTAAATAAGAAATTTCAACAAAAATAAAAATTGATAATTAAAAACTGAATTAACAAAAAAAAGTTGATAAAAAGAAAAAAGCCAATTTTATTGCAATCAGACAAATTTTTAAATTGTTGGAATAATAGTTTAGCAACACAAATTTTGAAAGCAGTACTCTAAACAACATTGTTATTATAAATAACTAAACTTTATATAAGCTTTACTTTACCTGTGCCCCGCGGTATTACCCGCAGTTTATTAGGGATATTTTCCCTCAATAAAATGTAGCCTATGTATAAATCTAGGGTTTCAGCTAACTCCATACCAAATTTTATTAAAATCGCTGCAACCGTTAAGACACGAAGAAGGAACAAACATATACACTCACACACTTTCGACTTAACAATTTTAGTGGGATTTAAATTATAATTGTAGACCAGAGTCGATAATTTTTGAGACCAAAAAAAATTATAGTAGGATGAAACCCATTAGAAAAAGTAGAGAATATAACAAAAATGAAAGGAAAAATAAATTACGGGCGATGTGAGGTCGGGAAGGGGGAGGGGGTGAGTTTTTAAGGGTAAAAAATGGTTAATCTCGATTTCCGGCAAAACTGCAAGTCCTATGAAAAAAAGTTAAATGGCAAAGTTGTAGGTAATAAAAAGATCTACAACTTTTGTATGGACACTTTTTTCACATAACCTCAAAATTTATGTGAAAAATGCGAATAACCGAGTTTTTGGTTTTTGATTTCTATTTTTTCCAAAAAAACATATTTTTTCACGAAATTTGGTGAAAACTTACCTTTGTATGTCCCAAACATACAGTAATTTTTTTGATTTAAAATAATCATTTTTTCACCTTATTTTGACTAAATATACAAAAAGCACCCTAATTTTCAATCGAAAATTCTCACGTCAAAATATCTGCTTTTTTAAAAAAGTTGGGGTGTTTTTTGTTTGTTGAAATCTCTACTTTGTGATGGTATAAAACAATATACACTACTATGATAAATGTTCTCAGAAACTGCAAATTAATGATGAAAAAAACTCCAATCCGAAAAATTGATTTCAATCATTATGTATAATTTTGAACTATTTATTAAAATTTACATTTTAATTACTCGAAAAACGTAAGATTTCATGTTATATTGATAAACAGAAAAATTACAAATCCATAAAACATGCAAAAATAGTTGTTGTAAGTAGGTATTAAAAATAGGATTCGAGTTATTTTCATTATTAATTTGCATTTTCTGAGAACATTTATCATAGTAGTGTATATTTTTTTATACCATCACAAAGTAGAGATTTCAACAAACAAAAAACACCCCAACTTTTTTAAAAAAGCAGATATTTTGAGGTGAGAATTTTCGATTGAAAATTAGGGTGCTTTTTGGATATTAAGTCAAAATAAGGTGAAAAAATGAATATTTTAAATCAAAAAAATTACTGTATGTTTGGGACATACAAAGGTAAGTTTTCACCAAATTTCGTGAAAAAATATTTTTTTTTGCAAAAAATAAAAATCAAAAACTCGGTTATTCGCATTTTTCACATAAATTTTGAGGTTATGTGAAAAAAGTGTTGATACAAAAGTTGTAGATCTTTTTACTACCTACAACTTTGCCATTTAACTTTTTTTCATAGGACTTGCAGTTTTACCGGAAATCGAGATTAACCATTTTTTACCCTTAAAAACTCACTCCCTCCCCCTTCCCGACCTCAGATCGCCCGTAATTTATTTTTCCTTTCATTTTTGTTATATTCTCTACCTTTTCTAATGGGTTTCATCCTACTATAATTTTTTTTCACTTTTCACCATTTTTTAAATTATCGACCCTGGTCTATTGTACCATTTTATCATTTCACTTTCTACATACATGCAAAAAATTGTTCCTTCTACACCCACCTCGACTGTTTCCCTTATGCGGGTATTTCGCTTGACTACTCTCCTCGTATTTGCCATTTGTAAACTGGACAACGGTGTATCCTTATCATGCTTCATAAAGAATGAAAAGCACAGAGTGATGTCGAGTTTACACATAGCATACACGAATAGCTTAGTGAAGTGCAGCCATCACATTTTTGTCAACTTTATAATACTCCCATCTTTTTAATGTACAATTTAATTCAACTAAGAATAGGACCGACTGGTCGCCATATTGTGACGTCAGCTGTCAATTCAAACCAGTTAGGTAGAGTGAGCAAAAATGTTTTTTTAATAAAACTTTTTACCAAGATTGCTATAAAATAAAATATCGATTATTGTAGGTTTTAAAACGACAACTTTATTTAAAATAAAAACAGTATTTTTATTACCTGTATTAATAATAAAACTAAAGTTCTCATATTTCCCTTTTCCAGTACTCATATACTATACGTTTATATGATTTATTTCCTTCTTTTGTTTACAAATGTTTGGTATTAATACGTAGATTAACTCAGTGCTTAAAAAAAATGTTCCAAGTTTTTTTTTTCCAACATTTGATTTTTCTGACATAAATTTGTTGATATAACCCGGAATTATTAAACTAAATTATAATAAATATTATGTGAATGAATTTTGAACGGATTACTACTTTGAATGTTATTGTTACTTGTTTATTTATTTTTTGTTTTGATTGACATACATTTCTTGACCTAACCCTGAATGTATTTTATAATTGCTTAAAGTATTATATGAGTTAATTTCAAAATTATATTTTTATTAACTAATTTAATTATTCTATCTATCCTAAATTGTTATGCTATTGTGATTTTATCAAATTTTAAATTAATATTTGTATACTTTAATTATAATTTGCAATCCCTTGCAGGGCTCATATTTGCGAGCTGTTAATTAAAAGAACTAAATGTAACCAACATGAAGCAATAAATATTATGACTATGACTTTTTTACAAACCGTACTTTTCAAGCGACATTGACAGATGGAGATTCTTTCCTATTCTAATTTGAATCGCATAGTAATATGTTTATTATTATATAAGTATAAAGAGCGGTATGATTGTGCGGTCGCAGGTAAAACGCAGGTGGGCGTGAAGATTGACGACGACAACCTCAAGATCCTCGACGAGCTGCCCAGCTCCGCCGTCGAGATGCAGGTCAAGAGCAAGGTCAGTACACGCGGTCATTACATCATTATAGGGATGACGACGGGGTAAAGTAGACGAATTTCTATTTAGTCCGGCAGTTACATTATTAAAAAATAATGGACACGTATCTTTTCTTTGGGCAATCAACCAAAAAATGACATCTAAGTCGCGCGTCTAAGTTTATTAGTGACGTCGTGACGTCACTTTTAAGTGAAAATTGTACCAAAACGTGTCGTCATGCGACATTAAAAATCAATTTATCTCTGTAATGTTTTGATTATGTGAATGAAGAAAAAATATGTGTCCAATAATTTTTGATAATCTACCTGATAGACGAAGAAAAAAAGGTTAGTCGTCATCTCTATTGTCTCAGCAGCATTAGTGCCTCATTGCTGGGGCACATGCCCTCCCTATGGATGGAATAGGGAGAAAGGGCTGTGACCCACCACGCAGGTACTAATCGGTGGGTGCTAACGGCCACAGGTACAGCCGGGACTATCGGCTTAACGTGCTTTCCGTAGCATGGTGAAAGGATGAGACTCTCTTCTTCTTTTCGTGTAAAGGAAATTTTACTAGAAAAAAAACCACGCGGAACAGGCAGCAGACAGGACTCGAAATCGCACCCTCCGCTATCCGGGCGGATGTACTGAGCATTATGATACCGCAGCCCTGATGGCCGTGTCTAATTTTCTCTAGTATTTCTTAGGCTGCATGAGAGCGCCATCTCTCGCATTGCAGATAATCCATAATATCAAATGAATACCTTTACAAGTATTAAAAATTTGAAAAAAGAAATAACAATTGTAGTTATATTTTAATTGGTGCGAGCTCGAGTCCCGTCTGTAGGCTTCTTCGCATGGAATTTGTTCTATTAAAATTTTCTTTATATTTATACATCTAGCATTTAAATGCTTAAAAATAAAAACATTAATATTTTTAGTCACCCATTCAATGACCACCATGAAAGTTGCTTGACTTCAAGAATCGCAGCCAAGAGTGCTGACCGCCTGCGCTATCGAGTTTCTCATATCATCTCAATCATGTTACAATAGGGTATTTGACAGTATTAAAAATAAAGTGCCAATTGTTAGCATCTGTGTTTAGAGTGAATATTGGCAGGGGTTTTTACTATTTTTACAAAAAAAAATCGTAATTTTACTAAAAACCCACGAAAAAGATAATAGTTTTCTTATCTATTGTCACGTGACTCAAAACGCTTGGGATTGGCGGAGCCTAACATGACGTCACACGCAAGTAATCTTCCGGTTAAAGTGACATTACATTGTATCGTTTGACGTTTTAATAACAGTCGCGTGACGTCACACAGTAAGACGCCATATTGTCCAAAGAAACGTTTTCGCGGCAACTTGAAAATTGAGTTTTTGATTAGGTTATTTTTACTGAAATACACAGCAGAATGATCAATATCCACTTTTTTTTTACGGACTCCATAAACATTAGTCAATAACGTGAGATCGTTTTCTAAAACTTGTCAAATACCCTATTCCATTGCTTTTACTAAAAATATTCTAACAAGCAGCTTCCATAATTTTTTAGCCTAAAAATAACTTTAGAGGTAAATAAGCATCCGATTACCCGATCACTGATTATAATTAAAGGCGCAGGGTATTAATAAAGTCGTTTTGTAAGCAGTTCTTGAAGAAGCTGAACCGCCAGGAGCGCGTGGTGGAAGAGGTGAAGTTAGTCCTGAAGCCGCACTACAACAAGAAGCACGTCACCAAGGAGGAGTACAAGCACATACTGCGGCGCGCCGTGCCCAAGGTATACACACACACAGACATTCATTTATCTATTCAATGGTCCTTACACTTTACACACGGAACAATGTCGCGTACTTCTCATTTTCAGAGACATTTCCTCGCATACATTGACGTATAAAAACAAGTAGTCTTCCAATCGTCTTACCAAAAGTACATGAAAACTGTCCGAGTGGCGCTGTGTTATTATACATCAACTTATATACACAGATAACATTAACACATTTTTTTTAAGCATTTAACTGCTAGATGTTTATATCTAAAGAAAATTTTACTATAATAAAATCCACACGGACCTGGGGGTCATTCGCCTAACGGAAATGCTTTGGAAAACGCTAACGCTTTCGATTTTATTTTGTTAATTCTGACCGCCGAAGGTTTATAAATACCTTACGCTCATTTTTTTAAATATTTTTATTACCAATGCAAAAGAAAAAAAAAGAGCGCGAGGCATTTGAAAACCTGAGGCGGCTAGAAATAACAAAATGAAATCGTAAGGCCACCTGGGGGCCATTCGCCTAACGGAAATGCTTTGGAAAACGCTAACGCTTACGATTTCATTTTGTTATTTCTAGCCGCCTAAGGTTTTCAAATGCCTCGCGCTCTTTCTTTTACATTGGTAATAACAATATTAAAAAAAAATGAGCGTGAGGTATTTGAAAACACATTTAAATCTAAAGAAAATATTACTAGATATAAAATCCACGCGGACCAGGCAGCAGACGGGACTCGAACCCGCACCCTTGCTATCCGGGCGAATGCACTGACCATTAATTATGCTTTTCTTTCTTATGCTGCCAGGCAGCAATTTTTTCTATGTAGTAATAGTTTCTTTAGATTTAAACATCGAGCGAGTGTTTAAGTGTTGTTTTTTTTATAATAAAAATTATAACTTACCGAACCGATTCGCCATTTTTTATGAAGTAAAGGACGACAATACAACTCGGCCGTCTGTAGAGAGAGAATAGAAAACGCAGTCGGCTGCAAAGCGACGCGGACTCGCGCCGCCGCACTGTGGAATATTTCGGTGTGTTTCGGTTTAAAAATCTGTAACTCCGTCAATTTGAAAGATAGGCTTATAAAATTTTGCTATAATATAAAGTGATACATAAGGATTCATATAAGTAATGTTTGATGAATTGGAATTATGCGTATTTTTTTTTAATTAAAAAAGAAAAGTCACAAAATGATTTAATATAGTATTATTAGTATTATTTATTTATTGAAATATTTTTTAGAAACATATTGTACGTCTATTTCTTAATGCTAATTACTCTATTAAGATAACTATCATATTATATTGATAATATAAAATTAAAAATGGTAAAATATTTTTAACACTACGCTAACATACAGAAACAAATCAAAATTATCGCAATATATATTTCTTTTTTTTTGCTCAGCAAGATTGACATCTTACACCCGGTGAGCTTTAGGATCTGAAATAAGTTCATTAACCTTGAGAAGGTGTAAAGTATCTTCATCGAGCTCCTTTACATTTTTTGCATATGGTTTTCTTATGCTCGTTATATATGGATCTGAAGTGTAAAGTAGTGTATTAAACACATCTTCGTTTGTAGCTATTCGAGAGCATTTCCGAGCATGGTGTAAGCGAAATTTTTTATAGTCCTTATTGCGAGATTCTTGAGCATCTTCTGAAAGTTGCCCAATTGGTAATACCGCGAAATGGTTTATGATACTCTCTCCGTGAATTAAAATTTTGTGGACAGATGATGGCATGTAATACCAACTATATTTACTCACGTATTGCAGTTTCCAGAGCATAATTACCAAATTTCTTACTATCTACCACTATACCAGATGACAAAGCCTGCAAAATTATATATAACCGTTTAATTAAATCAATGTCAATCCCTGTGATATCAGCAGAACAGGCAGCATTGTAAAAAAATCTCCTAGCAGTATTGCCATCATTACTATTTCCCGTCCCCTGTCGTGGTTTATCGATATTTAGACCCAACTCTTCACGAAATCGCTTTTGTACTTCAGCCTTTTTGTCTTGTTTGAGTCTTTTTTTTTCTTCGCTTATAGCAGACCACGTTTGGAAAGATAGATTATATGATATGTGTAATATCATTCCCATGCAACGAATCCAGGCATGTAATGTGGATAATCCGTATTGATAAGCATTTTCATTTTCAGGCCTAGCTATTACTTTCGTTAAATCATTCATTTGTTTAGGAGTTGCTCCGCATATTGTACATGTGGAACTAGAAGGCGTATCTGTTAAAACTTGTGCCACTTTTCCGTCTATCATCGTCAAAAAAAGTTCATGTTTGACTTGGACTCCCACGCCTTCTATATTACTTATTGATGGAAGCAAAGTTTGTATTTGATTTTTTATTTCATCTACAACCGATTTAGTTTTTTCTGGCGTTTCTTTGCAAAATTCTATAGATATAGGCCGACAGAAACGAACAGATGAAGGCACTGGATTTTGCTATATGATGGCGCCTGATTCCACGTCAGTTAATCTGATAGGCACAAAAGAAGTAATAAATAAATTTGCATCGGAAATAAGTTCAGACTCCTCTGGTAGTGCTTGCTTGTACTGGCTTTGTCCAGATGACCCATCACAACCCTATCTGCTATACAAAAGTAAATGTTTTTGTCCATTCTTGTAAACCTTATCTATTGATAAAATTCGAGCTGCAGTGTGATCCAATAGATCTTGAACTCTCAATATTTTTGCATAAGTATTTATGATTTCGATTGTTGATGATGGTGGATACCACCTCTGTTTCATTTCCTGTATTTTATAGTATGGTGGAAATAAAGAACAGTTTCTTTCATCTGTAACGTTCCTGAGATACAGATATTGTGCCTTTGTTAGTTCCAAGTCGATGAAGACACTTAATGCTTTTTCATCTGTGAGCCCTTTAATTATTTTTGCATCATCTAATTGATTTATAACGAAAACCTTTTTCTCTGCATCAGCCAACCTTAATTTTTCAACAACTTTTGCTTCAATTCCTTCTCCTATAGAACGCAATCCTTGAAGATATGCGCTTCGAATGTGCTCCAAACCATATTCATTTAGCAAAATGGTGTTTTTTCTTTTGACGTGACAACGTCTTAAATTAGGTTGCGGCTGGGAGTCACTTATGAAAAAGTGTAACGCTCGGTAACGTTACGATGAGTCTCTCGTGTTAAGTTTAAGTTTACATGTACAATGTTTTAGTAAACAAAATATATTTCTATAGTTAAAATTTGTGCAATTCTTATTTTCATTCAATTCCTTGTTCCTATTGTGCAATTTAATTATATTCATATCAATAAATATTCTACCGAGAAAAAGACGTTGTCACGTAAAATCTTCGCCCGTAAAACCGACTTTACAGGCAACCATTTTTTTTTGCTTGATTCTGAAGAGTCTCCATATGACACACACGGTCTTCCTCGTTTACCAGAAGAAGTAGACGGTGTAGAGTCTGTTGACATGTTTTCTGATGTTGGTATAGTTAACGAATATTCAGAATCCAACCAATTGGTGTTCTTTCTTAAAAAGGTATTTTTATTGCGTCCTTCTTCACTCCAGCGTTTATTAAACGAAGGGATGACATCCTTTTGAATATGGTCAATAATAAAACATATATTGACATCCGAAATTTGTTTTCCCTCCAAATATGTTGAAAGTGCCGCAGTCGTTTTTCCGCCTTCTATATAAGACACTATTAACTCACGTTTAGTACAGTTAGAAGTAGACATGTTGAATAATGAAATAACCGTACCTACTAGAGAACGTAGACGTAAAGACCACTGAAACGGTAATGGAGACATATTTTTTCACTGCCCTTTTTATATTGTTTCAGAATGTGGGAATTATTTCAGATATCTATTTTCTCACGGAAAATGACATCGAAATGATAAAACCTACATAACAATATCAAATAATTAATTCATAAAATGTACCTCAACCTATTGATAATAAAAGTAAACTACGAAACCGATTTTGATAGCGATTTCCGTTCCCAGACTAGTATTCGATTTTTTTACATATCTCCGAAAACCGCAAAAAGCCGCAGCTAATTTTTTTATATGTTTTAGATGAGTAACTAACCTATAATTTAACATTAAATTCAAAGTATCGGTAAACAACTCTAAATGTTAAAAGATTCGACGAAGTTGAGGAAAAAAAAATATTTCTCCATTTTTTCTTTAAATTGGTTTTTAAATTTATATTCGTATTAAAAACAATCAATTGTATTTATTTCTAACCTCTGATAAATGTGCTTTTCAAAAATATATAATACCTTATACCTTTCATTTCAAGTTTTAAAACTATTTCACGTTGAAAAACGTAAATGAAGAACTTAATATTTCCCAGCTGATTAAACGTTTAACTTTGCTACATGAAAAAAAATATTTTTACGAAATAAAATATGAATTACGCTGCAGAATATTAAACTTCGACTTTTGAACTATTAAATTATATTCATATATTATTACCCAATTTCAATCAGTAATAAAAATCAATTTTGATATGCGTTTGTTCTACCATATTCCACCGTGCGCCGTTTCGCTCGCGCTGCGTTGAAGCTCTCGCTCGCTCGATTGAAGTTTATTTACAGACGTGCGAGAGTCGCTTATGTAGTTGAGTCGGAACATATTTATTTGACGCTAGTATGAGCATACCGTATCTTCCCTTTTAGTTTTAATCTAAATGTTGGGTATCATTAATATCTAGGTATGATGTTATCGTTTCCAGATCTGTCACAACAAATCCGGTGAGATCAATCCCACGAAGATCCAAGCGCTGGTGGAGGCGTACGTCAAGAAGTTTAGGAAAAAACGCAAACTGGGGCTCGCGTAGCTCCGCCCTCGCGCTCGTAGCCTAATGATAATGTAACATAAGTAGTCGACAGACCGAGATGTTCTATCAGATTATTGTAATTATAATTTATGTACTGACGATGTATTTTACTTAAAAAATAAAAAAAACGTTTTATTTAAATGAAATATAGAATAAAAAAATCGCGATTTTTAGAATATGTGGACGTTCGAGATTCCAGTATCTTTATGTGAAAAGTCGAATATTTGCGAACTCCCGTCCGGTAGTTCAACTTTACATTCTCTATGTTTAAGGATTATTTTATTTAATATTTATGTGTCACGGTGGGTGCTTAAAAGATAACTTGTTGCCCTGTTAAGTTCAGACTTCTTCATTGTCATTTTTCTCTACTTATTAATATACTATCATTTTATAATGTCGTAATGACTCTTTCACCGTGACCTCAGTATTGACCTGACCAACAAAAGGCGCCTGTTACAACTTTCCCTACTGTATGAAAATGCAAGTAGAATAAATTAATTATGAATTAAAGGGAATGATTAAAAAGGATAACAGAAATGGCTTTTGTCTTATGATCACCTAAAATTGTTGAAAATATTTAAGTTCTCATAGTACATCTACATGATAAATAGTTTTTTTATGTACATAGATGTAAAATATTCCAACTACCTCGACCAGTAGAGATGGGTGGAACGGGCGACCACACGAAATGGTGGGTTTTCATCACAAATGCTCGCTTCGGTGACACAGTTTGTGATTGTAAATTTTTCATGTTTTACAAAAGTATTTATTAATTTGAGTAAAGATATCAAATGCTGTAGAAAATAAATAAAACGATTATTGTTTAGTTTTGAAATTTATTTGCACAAAGTAAAACAAATGATTAAAAACTAAGCATGACGAGTAAACAAGTAACAGAGTGCTCGCAACCGCAGCGTCTCTCGTAACTCTTAGACAAATTGGTATGATGTGAGTAAAAATATTTATATTATTGCTAATCGTTTGTTAATAGCTACAGAACAATTTTAAACTGCAATAAATGTTTTGTGAATAGTCAATCTATTACATGAATACGCAATTGAGTTGTAAAAATATTCTATGAATACATTTTTTTCTACAATGAATGTCTCTTTGGTTTTCAAAATATACACGCGAGTATTTGTCGAGCATATACAACTATATATGTTAAATGGTGTCAGTATTAAGGAACTGATATTCTAGTGAGACGAATACCTATTTAATGCACGAGAAATAAGTTTTAAACCCCTAAATACCCCGAGAACTCGACGCACACCTATGAAGTTGAAAAGGCTACGATAAGGATATTGCTATATTCCAAAAGCCGAATTTACATTACGAAATTACTGACAAAAAGTAGTTCCATAAATTTCATAAAAAAATATAACGTAAGAGAAAGAGCAACACGTATTTATACGTCTTTACGATATCTGGACGTAAATCCGACTATTATATTTCAAGAACACCCATTCCCAGGTTTTCTTGTAAATATATTGTTGGTACTTCTGCTATTTAAATGACAAAATAGTGTTAAAATGACTGCCATTTTGCGTTGAAAATCAACCCCATGGTGCGTCGACACATAGTAACGAGATCAGACTGGGTGCTGCAATTTACAATAACGTCATCCAGCTATCTTCACGTTACATTCTTGACGAATATTTGAAAGCTATAGATATCTCAGCTACTGTTAATTCTTAATGTAAAAATAATAAATATTTTCATAGTACAGTTTTACTTCACCGTTCCTGATGTTAATTGTATGTTTTTAATGTATTACAAATAACAATTAGTAATACAAAACTCTATTTAGAAAACAAAAATATTCACGAAAGCCTTACTATTTATAAGGAAATGGGTAACAATACATTTGAAACATCATATGAGCACTTTATTAGCAGCACCGAATCCGTCGCCACTACGTTAAGGTGTCATCTATAAAGTACGTCACACTTTAAGGGGGAAGGAGGGGGTCGACGAGACACGGTATTACAAGGAGTGGGGGGGCTCCAAGTTCCGTGACGTCACATTTCAAAATACTAGAACTATTATCAAACAACTTAAAATATTTAGAACTATCCGTATGAGTTCTGATTTGTTTTGGTACTAATTTCGGAATTGCTGTTTAAATTTAATAATATCTATACGCAAAATATATGGATACTATGGAGTATAATATCTAACTACGTCACACTATGGAGGGGGAGGGGAGATCTCACAAATGTGACTAACTGTGGGGAAAATGACGAAATTAGTGTGACGTCCTTCATAGAGTTATGGACCCCCATCGGCATGTATCGGTGAGGTGAGGTGAGGTCAGACGGCTTGCGCGAAGCCGATGCGTTGGTTCTGCGCGTCGAACTCGGTGTAGTACTTGCCGATGAACACGTCGCCCAGGATCCACAGCGGACCGCTGGGGGGGGGGATGTCCAGACCCATGAACCCGCTCAGGCACACCGTCTTACCGAACTGGGCCACCTGATCGTGCAAACGTGCAATTACTTGTATTATGCGGTTCAAATAACGATATAGGAAAACCGATAACCTCTCTCAAATGTAGTTTGAAAAGTACGGCTGGCAAAAAAATTTGCACACTTTTTTAGCACTGAGCTAATCTTACAATTAAAACCAAACATTTGTAAACAAAATAAGTAAATAAGTCATGTCGAACGTATAGAAAATGAGTACTGGAAAAGGGAACTATGAGAACTTTAGTTTTATTATAATTACAGGTAATAAAAAGAGCGGTTTTATTTTAAATACAGTTATCGTTTTAAAACATGAGGACGATGATGACTACTCCGACGGTAGTGCAGAGATGAGTGGAAATAAAGAACTAGTTTCTGATATATTTTTTTTCTCACACAGTGTTAATAAATAAATATTATTGAAAATGTGATATTTTCTCACACTTCATATTATTAAATAAGTTTTATTAAAGAGAAACTTTTTGCTCACTCTACCTAACCAGTTTGAATTGATAGCTATGCCGTCACAATTTGGCGCCCAGTTGGTCCTATTCTTAGTTGAATCGCATTATACAATTTAGTTTAATTAAAATTAATTTTGTTATGGTGAATCCATATTAGCACAGTCGAAGCGAAATTGATGACCTCCATGGGCGAGAAGTTTGAATGCCAGGTTTTAAGGGAATCCCGGTGGGGGCAGATATTTGTGTGATGAACACGAGCATTTGTACTCCAGTCATGGATGTTTAATATGTATTTCTATATAAATATACTTATATATGTACTGTATATGTATTCTATCCGTTACCCTAGTATCCCATAACACAAGCCTTACAGTGCTTACTTTGGGGCTAGGCTAATTGATGTGAGTGTTGGAAATAATTATTTATGATTTAAAACGTTTGCCTTTTTTCATTCGGAATCTAATGTAGCCGCATAAGCATATCACACACGCGGACAGTTTTTAGCTTTAATTTTGTATGCAACTCTTTATCTATAGTTTAAATTTCACATTCTAAACACGATACGGATTTTCATCAAACTTTCCGGCCGCTGCTCGCATGTATGTAGCCAGGCTGGCAATTTCGATTTATCTCGAAGAAGGTTATCAAAATAATGCTCACATTTACAAGCATGTTTGAGAAAAATAAACATAAAGCAGTCTCACCCTGAGCACGTAGTCGGTGGCGTTGAGCTTGAATTCGGTTCCCTGTATGGTGAAGGTGACGGAGGGCAGCTTGGGTATCATGCTGCAGTCGAACACATACTGCCCGAAGGCCATGGGGGAAGCCCCGAGCGCCTGGTTGAGGGCCTCCACCTCGGCGCTGGGGCCGCCGATCAGGGAAGTCCCCGTGTCCGCGATCACCGAGCAACCCTGCCATATCGAATCGTTTCAATAAAACCAGCAATTAAAGACCATGTCCAAAAACGTCAAGTTTTGAGTATAATCAAAGTTTATTACACATTTGTATAATATAAATGTACTAGCTGACCCATCGAACTTCGTACCGCCATAAAAAATAGGGGTCGGTGGTAGAAAGTTGAAAATATAGGGATGTATGTATTTTTGTATGAAGTATCATAAAAAAAAATAAAAAAAAATCTAAAATTTAAAAAAAAATTTAGGGGTGGATTACCCTCAACATTTAGGGGGATGAAAAATAGACGTTGTCCGATTCTCAGACCTACCCAATATGCACACAAAATTTCATGAGAATCGGGAAAGCCGTTTCGGAGGGGTTTAACCACAAACACCGCGACACGAGAATTTTATATCTCTTATCTATTAGACAAGTCCGTCCGTCCGTCCGTGGTGCTGCTTCAGCGGCCAAACCGTAAGAGATAGATAAAGAGAATGTTTAAGTTATAAGTTGAGAATAGTCTGATAAGACTACAAACCGGATGTGAGTAACGTAGCACTTCCGGTTTTCGAGAAATCACGTGATTTCTATTTCAAACGAAACCACACAAAATCTCCGAAGTTCTCAATTAATTAAAAACATTTTTTTTTGGTGAACATTTTGTTCACTGGTTTGCTAGTATTAGATAATGCTCACGTTGGCACAGAACACGCGGTTGGTAGAAGTCTTGACAGTCTGCATTCGGAACTGCCAGTAGGCGGCGCGCTCCAGCGGCACGTAGGTGAAGGGCGCCCGGTAATGCGCCGGGTCCGACCCGCCCAGGATCAGCTCCCCGCCCGCAGCGGCATTGGGGTCCCTAGGCGGGGAATCGTAATCATTTATTCCCTAATAAATTACACTTCATATAAATTTACAATATTGGTATACTTACCCTGGAATTCGGGCGTACTCGACTCCGTTCGTTTACACTTGGTCGGTTTCCCGAATTCCATTGGCACTCGTATTCGGGCTCACGACCAAGGGCAAACCGACAACTAACAATATTTAAATGTAAAGAAAAGTTTTACTAGAAAAAAAAATGGGTGCGTGTACTTATTATGTAGGCGCGTGAGAAGTTATCCTTCTTTGGCATCGTTTAAAATTAGTTTTTAATTGCATGCAAATAATTAATTATAATAAATTAATGGAAAGTCTGGAAAAGGACACAGTCAATAAATAAATAAATAATCAATATATTCAATTAAAATCGCTACTGAATATAATTTATTAGAACATATGTGATTTGCACTAGTATGAAACTCAAACACGTATTCCGAATATACAAACTAGAAACATGTGGATAAATATTATAAATATGAATACCTATAACTGTTACTTTATTACAAAAAATAAAGATGTGGTTTTTGGTTCTACTACACCAATGGTCAAGAGATGGCGCTGTAGTCTCCTGAATCGCGCTTTGGTTCCGTTGTTCCAGATTAATAAATACTTTTGATAGGCCTTCACAATGCAGTCGTTAGCACCCACTAAATAGAGATTCTATTTCTATTTTGTTGGTAGATTTTCTTAATGTGCGGTAAACACAAAAGTTTAAGTAAAAATTTTGTGTTACAGTGATGCGCGCGCATCTTAAAATTTCACTCTCATCATTTTTTCATAACGCGCCTAAAGAAGTATAACTTCAAAAATCCACGCGGACCAGGCGGCGGATGGGACTCCGGAATAACTATAATTGCTATTTCTTCATTGTGGGTTACCTACAGTGCGAAGAGATGGCGCTGCCTTGCAGCTTAAGGCTAGGAAAATTTCGACGCGGCCATGAGAGCCGCGGCAGCATAATTGGTCAGTGCATTCGCCCGGATTGCGAAGGGTGCGGGTTCGAGTCCCGTGCGCTGCCTGGTCCGCGTGGATTTTTTTCAAGTAAAACTTTTCTTTAGATTTAAATATTGTTAGTTGTCGGTTTGCCCTTGGTCGTGAGCCCGAATACGAGTGACAATGGAATTCGGGTAAACGACCAAGTGTAAATGAACGGAGTCGAGTACGCCCGAATTCAAGGGTAGTTTTTTGTTTTGGTTACCCGACACCGTCTTCCAGCCCGTATTCTAATGTAAATATTCTTTCGGGTGCCCGAATTCGGGCTAATGACCAAATGTAATTGCAGCATTAATGCGGTAAATTGGTTATTACAAACAAGTACACGAGAAGAAGTCGAGGATTTATGATATAAATGTGGTAAGTTAGTTATCGAAGGCTTACCATATTTACGAGTTATACTTCTACTATTAGAATACCAATCCGCACGAAGTTCATACAACGTTTTTCAACACATTTGCAAGGAAACAGTATACATAATTTTAGTAACAAAACAAACTTTTTCCAATGAGACAATAGCACTACGTGGTGCGTGTGATAAAATTAGAACTACATCTTTCGTCTCCTTATTACAAGCGCTGCCGGGATTCGATCGATATGAAACAAAAACCGTAAATAATACGCAAGGCGTCATATATGGGAGCGTGCGATAATATGTTAAACAGCACATACACACAACATAATTTTGCACTTTCAAACAATGTACACAACCTCCGTAAATGAGCAATATATTGAGCAATTTTGTTGAAATATTTTTTTACGATAAAAGTGCGGTAAGTTGGTTATCACAAATAAGTAGACGAATACAAGTTTGTGAATACCAATCCGCACCAATGTCATACAACGTTTTTCAAGACATTTGTCCCCCTTATCACCCGCCAATCGCCAATCCACTTTTTTTGAAGTTATACTTCTTGAGGCGCGTTATGAAAAAATGATGAGAGTGAAATTTTAAGATGCGCGCGCATCACTGAAACACAAAAAATTATACTTTTGTGTTTACCGCACATTAAGAAAATCTACCAACAAAATAGAAACGGAATCTCTATTTAGTGGGTGCTAACGACTGCATTGTGAAGGCCTATCAAAAGTATTTATTAATCTGGAACAACGGAACCAAAGCGCGATTCAGGAGACTACAGCGCCATCTCTTGACCATTGGTGTAGTAGAACCAAAAACCACATCTTTATTTTTTGTAATAAAGTAACAGTTATAGGTATTCATATTTATAATATTTATCCACATGTTTCTAGTTTGTATATTCGGAATACGTGTTTGAGTTTCATACAAGTGCAAATCACATATGTTCTAATAAATTATATTCAGTAGCGATTTTAATTGAATATTTTGATTATTTATTTATTTTTTCAAATTAAAACTGAACTTTATTGACTGTGTCCTTTTCCAGACTTTTTATTAATTTATTGTAATTAATTATTTGCATGCAATTAAAAACTAATTTTAAACGATGCCAAAGAAGGATAACTTCTCACGCGCCTACATAAGTACACGCACCCATTTTTTTTCATCGAGGATGAATAAGATATGATGAGTAGACGAATACAAGTTAGCGGGTAATAAGACCCGCTTATCACCCGCCAATCCACTTTTCATCCTCGAATACCTTTTTCACCCTCCAATTCCCTTTTAACTTCCAATCCCCACTATCACACACCAATCCGTATTATCACCCATCAATCCCCACTTTCACCCACCGATCCCCAGTGTAACCCACCAATTCCTTATAATCACCTATCAATCCCCTTATCGCCCTTGAATCCCTTTCACCCTTCAATCCCCCGTTACACCATCGAATCCCGTAAAGGGGATGTAAACACCCTTTAATCCCTTTTCGCCCTCAAATCCCCTTTTCACCTGCTTATCTCCTGAGCTCATTTAGTTTAACAACTTTCCGATGTAGATACTAATTGGTGTGAGTGTGGGAAATATTTATTATTATTATTATTATACTCCTCCTCTCTCACTCTAACCCGCAGCGCCGCTTAGTGAGATTCGGTAAAACATTTTACCGCACGCTCCGTCGGATGGCTCGTAATTTTTAAATAATGTATAGAACCTCCTTAAATGCATTTTTGACCAAATGTGTTGAAAAATAGTTTAAAACTTTCATGGGCACTAACCGTATAATATTTTTTGTTATTGGCGTTATTAATATCATGTACATTGTTATTTGCGAGTTCCCTATATTACGGCACTCTTGCAAGCGCCATGATGAAATATCTGGGACTCGTAGAAAACAAGGTACATGGTAGCAATCCTGTTAAGAGCCCTTTTACAAAATTGCACCGCTGTCGTACTAATCGGCGCGTAGGTAGATTTGCACTAGTATATATTGTATTTTATGGGTGATATTTAGAGTCTTATAAAATAATTATTAATGAACTAATTATAAAAATATATACATATTTCAGTAGTTCAAAGATGGCAGATTAGTTTTATAAAATTTTTTGATAGAAATTCTATTTAATTCAATATCAAAATACGAGGTAAACCTGCATTATTTTTTGGGAAAACTGACGGAGGTTAGATGTTTTTTTGATAATTAATTAGATAGAAAATCAAAATTCTAATACATTATGTTACAACAAAAACATATTTCTGATGTCATAATATTTAATTTGGTCTAATTTATTGAACATTATTGAGAGATTCAGGCGTTTGAAGTTGTGCATATTATCGTTTTTTCTGTAAACTAGCTGCAGTAGAACGACCAGTACAAAAAAAAAGGAAAATAGAATTTGCAAATATTCTACATTAACTTTCAAAAAGAAGAATAATTCTTCTGTTAACTTCTATTGGAAATAGTCAAAATCTTTTTTAAAGGGGGTAAATAAGGCGCTCAAAAATTACGATTTTTTGCAAAAAACGTGAAAGGGCTCTTAATGACATAAATTATTAAATTATATAATATAAATAATTATATAAAATAAAATGTGAAAAAACAACTCCAATGTCGATTTCAATTAATAGAAGGAAACAATACTCAAGCTAAAAATAGTTTAAGGAATAAGATATTTTTTTTAATTTTATAAATGAATGACAAAGTAAGTGGTCAGGTTCGTTTACCTGTTGAGGTAGAAGGAGAACACCGGCTTCACGAGCCCCTGCGACACCATGTTGTCGAACACCGGCGTCACGCCGTCCACCGATATGCTGGACAAATTATAATAAATACATTTAATATGCTCAAAACATTATCTTATAAGAAAATATTCTACAATAGTAGATTTACAAGTTGTTTAGCTGATTAATTATATTTGTGGCGGCGACATCTACACGCTTAATAACTAAATATGATAATGAAGATCACCACTCGCCTCGTCAGGAGTTAGGGCTACCAGCGGAGAAAAGACCTTAACAATAGGTATGGAAAGTCTACATAGCGCTGACGAAATTTGCAGCCGACAAAACAATAATACAATACTCGACCGACTTCGGTCGGGCAGCAGACGGGACTCGAATCCGCAACCTCCGTTATCCGGGCTGATGCCCTGACCAACTATGCTGCCGCAGCTCTGACGGCCGTGTTGAATTATCTCTAGTATTTCTTAGGCTGCAAGGCAGCGCCATCTCTCCACATTGCAGATAACACAAAATTGTTAAACGCACACCTTTCTAAATATTAAACATTTGAAAGAAGAAATAGCAATTATAGCCCTCTGGGGTGTGTTGGGCCAAGGGTCTGAATGTCCAAGGTGACATAATGCCCAGATGTTGTTAAGACCTAACGGTAACATTGAATAACTTCAATGTGTACAAGTCTCGAAAATTCGCTCGTTTAACTTCTAATTTGCAACTTTTGCCAAAAGATTTAATTTCTGCTGGCTGGAATGCAATTGTGAATTCTAATTCTGAACCAAAGTACAGAAATCGAAAATTTTGAACATTATTTTGTTAGGGAATGGCTGTCAGTCACTGCATGCTGATATAAGTTGTTCCAATGATAGACGTAGAACGAATAACACTGTCGAGGCGCGGCACAGCCGTATCAAGAAGCGGATGTACGGCACAAAATGAAAGTTATTCCAATTTAAATAAAACTAGTTTTTACGGGTTAATGCACGAAACTTTATTTATTTATTGACGTTTCGTAGCCTTTACAGGCTTCGTCGTCAGAATAAAACTTTTATTCAATTTGTCGAGCTACCTTCGAAAGACTTTTATTGAGCGTTCGGTTATTTCATTGTTCGATTTTTAAGTTTTATTGTCTATGTATGAATTTATTATTTAATTTACTTAATAAAGTATTTTATTTCAAATTCTTTTTTGTAATTTTGAGTTTATTTATTTGACCCTTACTACCGTAAACTACCACCGGTTCCAAAATTGGGAGACCTTTCTGAGAAGAACCAGCGAAACAAACTCAAGAGAGGCTTTCTATCTCCTTCTTATGTTAAATTATGCAAACAAAAAGAACTAATAGTATCTGATGGTCTTGCAGTGTGTGCTCGGGGTTGGGATTTTATCTCCTGTAAAATAGGTTCCCAAGCTGGTGGTATATACCAACCATTCATTTTTATTCTGTATAGAGAATGACAAGGATGCACTGTTGTCTTTAAGTTTAGCTTAAGAGAATCATGTCAGAATCGACACCATTTTGTCAGTGTAATTTTTTTTTGTTGTATTTTCTGTTGATATAGAAATAAATTTGTTTTTAACTTTAACTGGATGTTTCGACGGTTCGCAATTATATTTTAGCGATTTGTTGTTTTGGCACCTGGATATTATGACAACTGGGCATTGTAACAAATAAGCATTATTTACTTGTCATTTTGACACACTGGAGATTCTGCCACATGGCCCAACATACCTCAGAGGGAATTTTAGTTTTATCTTTTAAGCATTTAGCTGTTAGATGTTTAAATCTAAAAATAATAATACTTACCTGCAACGATTGCCGGATGGATTTATTAAAGAAAAGAATTACCTATGCATCGTTTTATTGTAAACAGAGGAAGATTTAAAGGAGTGCAGGACCCCTCTGGTAGTCCAGGTCAATTACGAATAACAAGAGGGGTGGTGATGTATATACCTGCTGAATCCCATGCCCAGGATCCCATCGAACTTGGCAGCCACGAAGGCCAGGCCGGGCTCCGACATGGCCTGTGTGGTGGAGTATATACCTGCTGAATCCCATGCCCAGGATCCCATCGAACTTGGCAGCCACGAAGGCCAGGCCGGGCTCCGACATGGCCTGTGTGGTGGAGTATATACCTGCTGAATCCCATGCTCAGGATCCCATCGAACTTGGCAGCCACGAAGGCCAGGCCGGGCTCCGACATGGCCTGTGTGGTGGAGTATATACCTGCTGAATCCCATGCCCAGGATCCCATCGAACTTGGCAGCCACGAAGGCCAGGCCGGGCTCCGACATGGCCTGTGTGGTGGAGTATATACCTGCTGAATCCCATGCTCAGGATCCCATCGAACTTGGCAGCCACGAAGGCCAGGCCGGGCTCCGACATGGCCTGTGTGGTGGAGTATATACCTGCTGAATCCCATGCTGAGGATCCCATCGAACTTGGCAGCCACGAAGGCCAGGCCGGGCTCCGACATGGCCTGTGTGGTGGAGTATATACCTGCTGAATCCCATGCCCAGGATCCCATCGAACTTGGCAGCCACGAAGGCCAGGCCGGGCTCCGACATGGCCTGTGTGGTGGAGTATATACCTGCTGAATCCCATGCCCAGGATCCCATCGAACTTGGCAGCCACGAAGGCCAGGCCGGGCTCCGACATGGCCTGTGTGGTGGAGTATATACCTGCTGAATCCCATGCTCAGGATCCCATCGAACTTGGCAGCCACGAAGGCCAGGCCGGGCTCCGACATGGCCTGTGTGGTGGAGTATATACCTGCTGAATCCCATGCTCAGGATCCCATCGAACTTGGCAGCCACGAAGGCCAGGCCGGGCTCCGACATGGCCTGTGTGGTGGAGTATATACCTGCTGAATCCCATGCCCAGGATCCCATCGAACTTGGCAGCCACGAAGGCCAGGCCGGGCTCCGACATGGCCTGTGTGGTGGAGTATATACCTGCTGAATCCCATGCCCAGGATCCCATCGAACTTGGCAGCCACGAAGGCCAGGCCGGGCTCCGACATGGCCTGTGTGGTGGAGTATATACCTGCTGAATCCCATGCTCAGGATCCCATCGAACTTGGCAGCCACGAAGGCCAGGCCGGGCTCCGACATGGCCTGTGTGGTGGAGTATATACCTGCTGAATCCCATGCCCAGGATCCCATCGAACTTGACAGCCACGAAGGCCAGGCCGGGCTCCGACATGGCCTGTGTGGTGGAGTATATACCTGCTGAATCCCATGCCCAGGATCCCATCGAACTTGGCAGCCACGAAGGCCAGGCCGGGCTCCGACATGGCCTGTGTGGTGGAGTATATACCTGCTGAATCCCATGCTCAGGATCCCATCGAACTTGGCAGTCACGAAGGCCAGGCCGGGCTCCGACATGGCCTGTGTGGTCGAGTATATACCTGCTGAATCCCATGCTGAGGATCCCATCGAACTTGGCAGCCACGAAGGCCAGGCCGGGCTCCGACATGGCCTGTGTGGTGGAGTATATACCTGCTGAATCCCATGCCCAGGATCCCATCGAACTTGGCAGCCACGAAGGCCAGGCCGGGCTCCGACATGGCCTGTGTGGTGGAGTATATACCTGCTGAATCCCATGCCCAGGATCCCATCGAACTTGGCAGCCACGAAGGCCAGGCCGGGCTCCGACATGGCCTGTGTGGTGGAGTATATACCTGCTGAATCCCATGCCCAGGATCCCATCGAACTTGGCAGCCACGAAGGCCAGGCCGGGCTCCGACATGGCCTGTGTGGTGGAGTATATACCTGCTGAATCCCATGCCCAGGATCCCATCGAACTTGACAGCCACGAAGGCCAGGCCGGGCTCCGACATGGCCTGTGTGGTGGAGTATATACCTGCTGAATCCCATGCCCAGGATCCCATCGAACTTGGCAGCCACGAAGGCCAGGCCGGGCTCCGACATGGCCTGTGTGGTGGAGTATATACCTGCTGAATCCCATGCCCAGGATCCCATCGAACTTGGCAGCCACGAAGGCCAGGCCGGGCTCCGACATGGCCTGTGTGGTGGAGTATATACCTGCTGAATCCCATGCTCAGGATCCCATCGAACTTGGCAGCCACGAAGGCCAGGCCGGGCTCCGACATGGCCTGTGTGGTGGAGTATATACCTGCTGAATCCCATGCCCAGGATCCCATCGAACTTGGCAGCCACGAAGGCCAGGCCGGGCTCCGACATGGCCTGTGTGGTGGAGTATATACCTGCTGAATCCCATGCCCAGGATCCCATCGAACTTGGCAGCCACGAAGGCCAGGCCGGGCTCCGACATGGCCTGTGTGGTGGAGTATATACCTGCTGAATCCCATGCCCAGGATCCCATCGAACTTGGCAGCCACGAAGGCCAGGCCGGGCTCCGACATGGCCTGTGTGGTGGAGTATATACCTGCTGAATCCCATGCTCAGGATCCCATCGAACTTGGCAGCCACGAAGGCCAGGCCGGGCTCCGACATGGCCTGTGTGGTGGAGTATATACCTGCTGAATCCCATGCCCAGGATCCCATCGAACTTGGCAGCCACGAAGGCCAGGCCGGGCTCCGACATGGCCTGTGTGGTGGAGTATATACCTGCTGAATCCCATGCCCAGGATCCCATCGAACTTGGCAGCCACGAAGGCCAGGCCGGGCTCCGACATGGCCTGTGTGGTGGAGTATATACCTGCTGAATCCCATGCCCAGGATCCCATCGAACTTGGCAGCCACGAAGGCCAGGCCGGGCTCCGACATGGCCTCGGCGAATGTCTGCGCGCTGACTCGGACCCCGCCCACCTGATTCAATTACACTCATTTACTTTTAACGATTTAACTCTACAGTAACCAGCTCCTTATGACACGATTACACTTGCTCGTAAGCTCGAATAACGGAGTCAAGTTCGCCCGTATTAGGGTAGTTTTCGTTTTGTTTCCCGCCTTCCAGCCCGTATTCCAGTGAAAATATTGCTTCGGGTGCCCGAATTCGAGTTATGTCCTTCATGCACCTGAAGATGGGCGAACGCACAAATGTAATTGCGCCATTATTCACGCTTAATTTATACGCGTTTTCACTATTCGCAGATGAAAAAATTGTGTCCGAATTCCTCTATTCGCGGCTAGAAATTTCTTTACTCGCGTATCTAATCAAAACAAAAAGTCACAGACAACAAGTTAACATGTCGGCTGATAGAGTATGCAATTATGTATTAATTTTGACGACCTCCGTGGCCGAGTGGTTTATACGCCGGGTTTCATGGCGTCGCCGACTCGAGAGGTCCCGGGTTCGAATCCCGGTGGGGGCAGATGTTTGTGTGATGAATACGAGCATTTGTACTCCAGTCATGGATGTTTAATATGTATTTCATATAAATATACTTATATATGTACAATATATGTATTCTATCCGTTACCCTAGTATCCCATAACACAAGCCTTTACAGTGCTTACTTTGGGGCTAGGCTAATTGGTGTGAGTGTTGGAAATATTTATTTATTTATTATAGAGGTCGCCCGCGACTTCGTCTGCGTTAACTAAGTTTCTTGGAAATCCCTCTGGAACCTAACATTTTTTTCGGGATAAAAGTAGCCTATGTGTTATTCTGATCTATAAGCTACATTACTGTAAAGTTTCATTAAAATCCGTTTAGTAGTTTTTGCGTGAAAGAGGAACAAACATCCATCCATACATCCATCCAAACAAACTTTCGCCTTTATAATATTAGTAATTTATTTATTATTTAATAACCAACACTGTAACGACATTTTCACTCCCTTATTTATTCATTTCTCACTAGCGGCCGCCCGCGACTTCGTCCGCGTTAACTTTATTTTTTTAAGAATCCCTCAGAACACTTTCCTGAATAAAAAGTATTCAATGTCCCAACGCAGATACTAAACTACATGTGTGCCAAACATCCGAAACCATTCAGTCGTTTTTGAGTGATTGAGTAACAAAAATACAAACTTTCACATTTAGTAGATTCATAAACCCTAATCAAGCGGATCAAGTTCTTTGAAGTTATACTTCTTTAGGCGCGTTATGAAAAAATGATGAGAGTGAAATTTTAAGATGCGCGCGCATCACTGTAACACAAAAATTACTTTTGTGTTTACCGCACATTAAGAAAATCTACCAACAAAATAGAAATAGAATCTCTATTTAGTGGGTGCTAACGACTGCATTGTGAAGGCCTATCAAAAGTATTTATTAATCTGGAACAACGGAACCAAAGCGCGATTCAGGAGGCTACAGCGCCATCTCTTGACCATTGGTGTAGTAGAACCAAAAACCACATCTTTATTTTTTGTAATAAAGTAACAGTTATAGGTATTCATATTTATAATATCAAAAGTATTTATTAATCTGGTACAACGGAACCAAAGCGCGATTCAGGAGACTACAGCGCCATCTCTTGACCATTGGTGTAGTAGAACCAAAAACCACATCTTTATTTTTTGTAATAAAGTAACAGTTATTATCATATTTATAATATTTATCCACATGTTTCTAGTTTGTATATTCGGAATACGTGTTTGAGTTTCATACAAGTGCAAATCACATACACACATCAAAAGTGTCTAGGGATCAACATATATTTTTGCAATAACTTTTCTCCTGATTGATATTAATTAAAATTTTCTTTAAGGATTCATCAAATAAAGTGTTTTCGTTTGTCACAGTAACGATAAACCAAGTCACCTTTGCATTAATAAAGAAATTTGCCATTTTCCTAATAAAGGGATTTTTGACATTTGAACCACTAACACAAAAGTTCGAAAAAAAGACTGAAATAACAGTTTTCTCTAAAATTTTATTGGGTAACTTAAACAATTAATAATCCGTATTTCTACCGCGAACACTAACAACACAAGAACATCGGTTTGGCATACTCAAAATGAGTTCATCCAAATCACGCTGTGGAATGGCCGCCCATGTACGTTGCAACAACAAAAAAAGGTCTTCTTGCGACTGGATACCCTCCATATTCGGCAGAGCTCTTCTCTGTAGCATATCCCATGCATGCTCAATCGGGTTCAAGTCTGGCGACTGAGCAGGCCAGGGCAGGACATTGATGTTAGCTGCGGCGAGAGTCTGTCTTACAACTCTTGCGGTGTGCTGTCGTGCATTATCATGCATTAACTGAAATAAGGGACCGATTTGCACTTGTAGAGGAACGATGACGTCTGATACAATCGTCTCAGCATAAATTTGAGCGTTGAGGTTGCCTCTGATCCAAATCAACTCAGTTCTTCCGCCGATCCAAATACCCGCCCATACCATGATGGTTCCACCACTATAAGGATGGACTTCCTGGCAGGATTTTAATCGCTGTTGGCGTCCAGGGGTTCTCCAGTGTCGTATACGTCTTGTATCCGGTCTCATACCAAAACGAGACTCATCAGAAAAGCACACGAAACGCCATTGTTCTTCTGCCCAATTTCTGTGTTCAAGAGCCCATTGATATCGAATCCTACGATTGTGCATTGCTATAGGTGGTACCCGTAGCGGTCTTCGGGAATGAAGGTTCACTTCATGCAAGCGGTTTCTGACTGTTTGGTCGCTAATTAAGTTCCCTGAAGAGTGATGAAGCCTCACGGCTAACATCATGGCGGTTATTGTTGGAGCTCTTCGAGTTAAGATTTGAATGTATCGGTCTTGTCTCCGTGTGGTGCAGCGATACCGTCCTCCATGGCGCTCAGCCACGGTACCAGTGCTTCGGTATCGTGTCCAAAGTCGACTGATAACACTCTGACTTGGATTCAGAGCTAAAGCCACAGTACGTTGCCGGGAACCAGCTTCTATCATTACCACGGCTCTGAGCATTTCTTCCCTGCTTAAATGACGTCGCCGCTCCATAATAACGTTGGTTTTAATCAGTAGTAGGGAAACAGTAGCACTAATAATGTCTTCAATGCGTTGTATGTTTTTATAGGGAAAATATTGACAGCTGATTTTCATCTTTTACTCGAATTTGATTCACAGTTCCTGATTCAAATTATGAAATGCACCAAAAAGGATCCATATAAATTTATAAAATCATAAATTTATTACAAAGCCACATCTCAATCTCAAGAAATCCGCATAAAAATGCTTGATCCCTAGACACTTTTGATGTGTGTATGTTCTAATAAATTATATTCAGTAGCGATTTTAATTGAATATTTTGATTATTTATTTATTTTTTCAAATTAAAACTGAACTTTATTGACTGTGTCCTTTTCCAGACTTTTTATTAATTTATTGTAATTAATTATTTGCATGCAATTAAAAACTAATTTTAAACGATGCCAAAGAAGGATAACTTCTCACGCGCCTACATAAGTACACGCACCCATTTTTTTTCATGGATAGGTCCGACAAATGATATGATGTGATGTATACACTCACGCTGACGTCATCTGTGGACAGGAACCCGGAGAGGCTGCCGGAGCCGTAGTGGATGGCGAACTCAGTGCCGTTCTTGCGGTAGGACCTCGACTTGGTGCTGTCGTACTTGTTGTGCAGCACTACGATACAAATGTTCACAAAACATCGAAGTGAATAAACCAGTGTAAAACGATTTTTTTTTGATATACATAATTTATGGTGTTAATTTTTGCTTACATGAGCACAGCTGTACAATTTAACACTCATGTACCAGAAATAAAATATTTGATTTACGTTTCTTATGTTCAGTTTATATCGGCTCAAGCACTTATGAAAGTCGAACAACTACCTATGCTAGCATTTTACAAATCTACGTCTACGGCGGGAGACCTTCTACTGAGAAGAACCGACAGTAATATCAACGAGACCTTTTTTTTCTCCCTGTATCTAATGTGTGTCACCGTTTTTATAACAACGCACTAAATAATTATGCTTCTGAGACGTTGACGGCCGTGTTTATATTCTCATTTCTCATTCGCATTGTATTTTCTTAGTGATTAAGGTTTTGTCGATTCCGCCATATGCACTATGCCTTTTTTTAATCATAGATAGTCCGACAAATTTCTTCACCCCACCTGATGTTAAGTGTCAGTAAAGTCCAGATGCGAAGATAGCTGGTACAGCAGTTCTATCTGCCACACCAGCCATCCTCACCTTGCTGGCCTGAATGTTGTTTCTTCACTTCACTTCTATTAGACTGTATTAGCTATTTATTATTACACATATTATAAACATTAAAATAAACGAGCGAGCCTTACAGTAGTCTCGTATGATGTATAACAATTGAAACCTCACCTTATATTAGTAAAAAAAGAAATAAAACCTGCTACAAAAGTAATAAGCTATTTGAACATTATGTTCCAAAATCAGATCAAATAGTGCGCGCTTCCCAAACTTCCTGTTACACACTTCCGTCCCACTTCACGTAACAAAAATTGCACAAAAGCAAGAGGAAAGATGTTACACATCAAAAAAAAACACAGGCTATATTTTGCTTATTTAGCATTCTTTACACGTAGAAAAAACGATTGCTACATTTATCTGCAGATAGCAAGATTTGTAAACAACATAATTTTTTTATTGTAATGAAGACCATGAAATTTGCAGATCAGAAGCTTAATTTCATCATCAAGAAGGCTTTTATTTATTTATTACCTACACATCAATCTCTCATATCAGAAGCAGGACTAATCAGCAATTCATTTGCTGTTTAGTTATAAATTAAAATGCATGTAAAATGGAGCGTGAATGCAACGCTATTAAATTTCACCTGAACAATTCTGTGCTTTATGTGAGATTAAAGAGCACACATAATTGAGAACTATGATTAAACATAAAAATGTCAAGTGATTTATCATACATTTTATATTTTCCGTTTAATTCATTTATGACTTTCATATTTTCATACACTATCTTTTAATCTCTTTTTATTGTTTTAACAGGAATGTTAACATCAGGTTAGGTATTTACCAATGGTATGGCTATTATTAATATATTAGAGCCAGCGAACAATACACTTGCATTCTTACTGGAAATTCTTTAAAGCACTAGCAGCATAACTTATAAATGAAATAATCACCAAACAGTTAAACTATTTAGGACAAATAATAATTATCTATAAAAACGTAACTAACTATAAAAATAAATACTTAACCATAAAACTTACATATACTTTTTAATAGTTAAATAGTGTTCAAATAATTTGACATTTTATGTGTTTCTGTAAGAGTTTAAAATAGCCACACACATACATTATGATGACCCAGAATTTAATAGTTACTTAAAGAAAAAAAATAACTTCATTTTCTAAGCCAACTTTGAGTTTGTTAAGTATGCTTTCATAAGCGCTAAATATCTATGTTAGTACAAATTCAGCAGGATCAGTGATTTATGACCCAGCACTTGCGATAGGAGAGTATTACCACGACTCACGCATTGATGATAAAGATAACAAATGAAACAATGAAAAGAGCTTCGTACGCTTTTAGGCACTTAGTAGGTATAAAAATTTAGGAAGTCCAAAATGGAAAATCTTCCTCCGAGCTGAGTGATGGTAGCTTGGGGGAGGCGGTAAACTGATGTTGGTTGGCCATTGCATATATAGTGTTTGCTTCCGAATTTCCCTGGCGAAGATGATAGAAGTAGAAGTAGGCTTCCATACTTATTGATCGCAGCACTGGTGGCGCCAATTCTTGACGAGGCGATCGATTAGTTGGATATATGAGTTAACTAACTAGTCTAGCTCTAAGAAAAGGGCTAAAGCATACAGCTTTATGGAACACTTGCTGACAGAGTCTGTCAGCAAGTGTTCCATAAAACAGTTCTGCAGCAATACTCTTAATAGAGTTTTGGTCCAAGATATTAGCAGGGCCGTTGCCAGAGTTACATTTAAGATAGGGTAGCGGTAATTATAGGAAGGGTATAAGCAGGATTTGCAACAACCGCCTCCAGAATTGTTCAATCGAATGTTTAAGGTAAGGCAATGGTATTTTAATGAAGGGTATTGCCATATAATCCTCTCCCTCTACCATAGCCCTGGTTATTACAGTAATAATAAAGATGAAGGGGATACGTACAGCAGGCGATGTTGGTGTAGTGACACTTCTTGGAGGGCACCCACAGGTTGGAGGAGCCCGTGTCGAACACCACCTTGAACGTCTGCGGCGGGTTGCCGATCGATATCGGACCGTAGTACTGAGCCTGTACACACAACAAACGCAACAATTGAGCCCTGGCTCTCCAGCGCATGTTTTGGCCAACACGATCAATAAAAACACATCAACATTCAACAAAATCGTCTACACAAAACTTTGTTTCACTAAACATATTTGTTTGCATCAACAATGTTTTTGCTTACCGAGCCCGATGGAAAGCATGTACACAAATCCCCCCGCTACTCTCGCTAGCTGGGGCTCTACCAAAAGCTACGCTCCAAGTACGTTGTAGTACGAAGTCACTCTGACGTTTAAACTTTGGCATAATATTACGAAACTTTTGTCAATTTTAACATTTGTTGCACCCGGATCGTAGTTTTTGAACGTAGCCCTATGTATTTTGTATACGACAGCCACGTGCGCAAGTGTAGGCGACGTTTCAGAAACAAATATATGTGTGTGTTTTTGTTGAATGCTTTTAAAAGATCGGCTTTATTTCAACACACACCTTAGAATGATCTTAAAGTTATATGTTGAAGACCAGTTGGTGCAATTAATAATAATTATAATAAAGGTTTATTTGATCATGTCACTCTTGTTTCATTTTATATTTATTAGTAGGTAGTAAGTCTCTGAAATTAATTATTAAGTTAGTAGTGTTATAAGTTCTATCCTCATCGATAGAACTTCATATTATAACGATCCCCTTGAAGTGTAAGAGCCTCCTCCAGTCTTCCCATTTTTTGGGATTTGAGCAGTCACTATCCAATTGTTTTCTGCCGTTAGGATTAGGTCATCAGTCTATCTTTTCCTTGGTCTACAGACTCTTTATTTTTGTTGCTTTGCTTTTTTGGACTTTATTGTATAAGCGAACACAGAGACCTTTAAATGAATTATTGATTTTGTGAAGCCTAGTAGTTGGTAAAGTTAATTTATTTTTGTTTCTTGTATTAAGTGTGTGAACATCACTGTTTTTAAGAAACAAATTAATATTTTTTCTTACAAGTAAATAGTTTTCCTATATGTATTGTGATGCGACTGTCATTGTACCAAATTCTTTAAACTTATCTCTTAAGGATTCTTTAACTTTAAGATTATAGTTTAGTCGAATAGATCCCTTCTGCAGCACAAAAAAGTTTGAATGTTGGCGGGGTTTCCCCACAATAAAATTCCTTAATACAAATCATAAATCTCTTTAAAACAAAACATCTTTAAATATGTCATGTCATGTTTTGATTACACTTTTCACTGGTGAAACTGTGACTGTGAAAAAGTGTGACCGAAATAAACATCATGTTTACAATTTAACTTATTTAATATTATATCACTATGTAACTTTTTACTAGGAGGATACTTAGAAAATATTAATTCATGAATGTTTAAATTTTTATGAAAAAAATTACAACTTAGTTTTTTATTTTTATATTTAATAACATAGGACTAGCTTACTAACAACATCCACTGTTTAATAACAGGTTATGTATATTAAATAAAGAGTCCCACAATGATGATGATATAGCAGTAAACATTTCATAAATTAGTGATAAGAGGCAGGTTATCAACAGGGAGCAAATAATGAACTATAACAACTTGTTATAATATCGTTATAAATTGTTGATAGTTTTTATGTAAGGAAAAATCAAATATCATAAATTTAACCCTTTAAAATTAGAAACATCCTTATCAACTTTTATCAGCATAAACAATGAATTGACTTATGTTTAAATATATTTTTTTTAATTATTTATTCCAATTTAACAAAGGTTAAAAATAGGAATTGCCTTAATTGAATGTGGTGCCTAAATAGTATTAAAGGAACTGTACTTATACATGTTGAATCTTCATTTAAACAATTGTAACCTAATCTTTGGAGTAGATCCAATCTACTCTCAAAGCCAATTAGCTAATTTTATAACGCTATATTGAGCAATCTAGGTATCTTATTGGATGTTGTCATAATAATAAAATGTATCCTAAAATGATGAATCCATAGATGTTGATGTACTCACATCAAGGTAGTTGGACAGGGGCTCCGGTGCCGGTCCAGTGGTCTCGTACTTCATGCGGTATACATGCAGCTCGGTGCCCACCTCGTGCAGGTGACTCCGCACCGTCTTCATGCGGTACAAGGGTATTCTACAAACATTTTGTTTTTACAATCTTCTATTACAAATACAGCTAAGGTAGGATTCCACAATTACTTACCTTAGTAGTTCCGCTGAACTCGCAGCAAAAAGAGCCACGAAAATTATAAGAAATCTCTCCATCATCGTTTCGTCCGATGACCCCTGCAATGATAAATCGAGATCAAACATTTAAAAGTCAATTTGTGTTATGTACACAATACGGTAACTACTCACAATAAATATGATACTTACGATTACGTATTATTAAATTTTACGGCTGCAGCGAAAAATATGTAAGTAATCGTCATTCGTCGTCAACAACAAATGAAAGTGACTAATCAAATTAACAATCGCAACGAACTTTATAGAAAACCGGCGCTGCAAAATAAAATAATAGGCATGCGTCCGATATATCAAAACGAATCCAAAATCCGATTTCAAACACAAATCGATACCGAACGATTTCTCAACTAGAAAATCCGATTTCAGAAATCTAACCGACCCAAAACGCTAGCGATCACGTATCCAAATGTAAATCGGATTCGAAATTCGTGCTATCTTTTTTTCTCCGCTTTGTAGCGATTGGTTAGAAAGAGAGAAAGCGAATTTGTTTACAATTTCGAACGTCAGTAAAATTCGCTTTGTCTCTTTCTTACCAATCGTAACAAAGCGGAGTAAAAAAGATGCCGCGAATTTCGGAAGTCCGATTTGGATTTCTTGTTTACGGAAATCTATTGCCATTGAATATGTGCGATCAATATAGTCTTACGACACAGTACTTAAAGACTATATTTGCGTGACTAGGCTGTGAGGTGATGTATTTTGGCTTATATCTTAGCGTGCGTTTGTTTACTACAAAAACTTGGTGCTTTTGTTTAGATGCAAATTTGACCTTGATATGCAAGTGCACGCATGTCAGTCAGTGATTTTTGTTTGCCGGGTTTAGATAATTATTAATTACGTGTTTGTTAAGACTGGATTGGAGTTCAGAGTTCATAAAGATAATAATAATAAGTCAACTTAGTAAATTGTGTACCCACATATTATTGAAATTTTGACGTGACAACGTCTTAAATTAGGTTGCGGCTGGGAGTCACTTATGAAAAAGTGTAACGCTCGGTAACGTTACGATGAGTCTCTCGTGTTAAGTTTAAGTTTACATGTACAATGTTTTAGTAAACAAAATATATTTCTATAGTTAAAAACCACACCAGGCTGGTGCACCACGCGCAGGTAATGTGTGACCCACGCGTGCCCCACCTGCGGGGCATGCTTCACCTACCACGCCGCGCTATACAACCACACCAGGCTGGTGCACCACGCGCAGGTAATGTGTGACCCACGCGTGCCCCACCTGCGGGGCATGCTTCACCTACCACGCCGCGCTATACAACCACACCAGGCTGGTGCACCACTCGCAGGTAATGTGTGACCCACGCGTGCCCCACCTGCGGGGCATGCTTCACCTACCACGCCGCGCTATACGACCACACCAGGCTGGTGCACCACGCGCAGGTAATGTGTGACCCACGCGTGCCCCACCTGCGGGGCATGCTTCACCTAACACGCCGCGCTATACAACCACACCAGGCTGGTGCACCACGCGCAGGTAATGTGTGACCCACACGTGCCCCACCTGCGGGGCATGCTTCACCTACCACGCCGCGCTATACGACCACACCAGGCTGGTGCACCACGCGCAGGTAATGTGTGACCCACGCGTGCCCCACCTGCGGGGCATGCTTCACCTACCACGCCGCGCTATACAACCACACCAGGCTGGTGCACCACGCGCAGGTAATGTGTGACCCACGCGTGCCCCACCTGCGGGGCATGCTTCACCTACCACGCCGCGCTATACAACCACACCAGGCTGGTGCACCACGCGCAGGTAATGTGTGACCCACGCGTGCCCCACCTGCCGGGCATGCTTCACCTACCACGCCGCGCTATACGACCACACCAGGCTGGTGCACCACGCGCAGGTAATGTGTGACCCACGCGTGCAAGTAAATTCTTATTCTTATTTTCATTCAATTCCTTGTTCCTATTGTGCAATTTAATTATATTCTTATCAATAAATATTCTACCGAGAAAAAGACGTTTTTAATTTGTTTTTTTTTAACTGTTGACTTTTTAATTGATTAGACGAGTTTTGTGTTGGTTTTCAAAATATCGTTAATTAATTGTTTGTTATTGTCGTTAGCTAATAAAACCAAATCTTAACACAAACTAGTGAATTGGCTAAGTTAGGCACATCTGAAATCGGATATCTAAAAACGGATTTTGAAATCGATTTTGAAATCTGAAATCCGATATATATCCGTTTGCGTTCAAAACCAAAAACGCCCATGTCTATAAAATAAAACTATGTGTCAATGTCAAATGAAATAGCGTTGCGCCGAATCAGACTAACGGTATCGATTAAAGCATAGACAGTTTAGTCGGATTAATCGGAACGATGGATTTCAAAGTGAAACTTTTATAAGATTACCATTTGTTCATCTTTAGCAAACCGCATTACATTTTTAATAGTTATTAAAAAATTAGGATCTATCAACAAGCATTGGTGGTTCAGTGGTAGAAAGCTCGCCTACTACGCGGGCGGCCGGGGATCGGTTCCCAGCCAGCCAGCCTGGGAATATTTTATTTTTTGACGTAATAGATAATGTTTTAAAATCAACGAACACCGGCTGCGTGCATGGAAAAGTGTGACGTCATGACACTTGGTCACTAGTTAATTCAACGTTCCACGTTCGCGTGATATTTTGGTATTTATTGTCCCATATTATGATGTTTTAAACAACAAATACTAAAAACCCAGATTCATAAGGAACGTTCGTTATACGGAACCCTTCGTGCGTGAGTCTAACTCGCACTTGGCCGTTTTTTTTTAATTCTTGTTCAATTATCGATAGTAGTATTATCGACAGATTAGTAACGCTATACGTAATAAATGAGATGCCAA